CAAAAGATTTGCAGAAGGGGTTCAACTCCTTAGTTATTCTGGTAGCTTAGGAAACCTGGAAACACAGGAACTCTTGTGTTTTTGAGCATGCCAGGCCTAGCATACTAGATTTGCTCCGAGTGATAGCCGGTTTATGGGGGTTGGCAGGAGCTTCTAAACTCCAAGAGTTCCTTGCCCGGTCGCTGTCCTTGGCCACTTAGATCTGTGGCTAGGTTGGTCAGGGTTTTTGTTGTTGTTTCTGTAAAGAGTTTGCTACCTGTTGGTGGTGTGTGAGTGGGGGTTGAGTTTTTGAACTTGGTCCGGTTCCTGCTGGCCCTTTGGTTCTATTTCTTCTTAATGAAATGACACGCAGCTCTCCTGCGTTGTTCGAGAAAAAAATAAGTGACAGGTACTTGACATGACTCAAAAAAATGAAAAAGATTGACGCAAGTGTTGTTTCTTTGATTGAAGGGAGGATCCCAAATGCGATTGAAACCAACAGGTTTGATAGAATTAAGTGGACAACTATCAAAAAGAACAATCTCTGTGGTAAGAAAGCTTGAGTTTGATCCTTGTCTTAGCATCTCCTTGCACAACCTGTGTTTTAGAGGTCTGATCCTATGGATAGTTTCTAAGTGCACGGTTGCGAAGTACAATAACGAAGATGTTATTTTGTTGAATCTTGACCCAAACAGTCCTCGTTTGATAACACCACATGTGTTGAAAATGATACATGGCATTCCACGGGGTAGAGTTGAAATGCCTCAGGATATTCTTGAAAGTCGACCTGATGAGATTGAATATATCGTCGATTACAAGGACAATGTAACTTCCGGAATGCCATTACGACCATACACCGTGCTTTCCCAATGTTTGAGCTAAAAGGGGCACGGAAGGGAATTGTACTGTTAGAGGTTTATGAAATATATGAATGCATATGCATACATTTGTACATACCTTGATGCCTTCCTTAACTAAATCAACAATATTGTCCACCACTCACATAGTATAGTATTGCATTCTTGAGGTCTTCATGGTGTCATTGCCAGTGGTTGCATCGCAATCCTAGTTGTCCAAGAAAAAAAAATCTGTCAGTTACTGTTAGTCATACAACATTGCTGGTCTAAAAAAAAGTTTCAAAGATGCTTACAAGAAAGGACACCGGGCTCCAAATGGTCTCGCTTTCATGGAAGTTTGTAAACCTTTCTTCAAATGATCAATTAATAGCTTGCACCAATCATTGGCAGCTATCTTCTTTATGTCCAAGACATAGTCCAAGTTCTTCAGAGTAAGATAAAGAGAAGAGGTTGTAAAGGACGAAAAGTTGAACAGTGTTGCTATAAAAAGCCTAAGCACAGTGTCATGAACCCTCCTAGCAGTTGAACTCACTTCTTTAACATCAGCAAATGTAATAAAGTTAGCAGCTGATGAAGCCTTTTTCTTTGTGGGATTCTTTTATGAAACACTTCCAGGCTTCTTTTTCACAGCCAAAATAGCAGCTGATGAAGCCTTTTTCTTTGTCGGATTCTTATCTAAAACACTTTTGGGCTTCTTTTTGGCAGCCAAAGAGCATTTTGAAGGTCCTTCAGTGCAAAATCTGGACATTCAAGAATATCCTGAGGCATTTCAACTCTACCCCGTGGAATGCCATGTATATTTTTCAACACATCTGGTGTTATCAAACAAGGACTGTTTGGGCCAAGATTCAACAAAATGACATCTTCGTTATTGTACTTCACAACGTGCACTTAGAAATTATCCATAGGATCAGACCTCTAAAACATAGGCTATGCAAGGAGATGCTAAGACACGGATCAAACTCAAGCTTTCTTATCACAGAGATTGCTCTTTTTGATAGTTGTCCACTTAATTCTATCAAACCTGTCGGTCTGAACCGCATCTGGGATCCTCCCTTCAATCAAACAAACAACACCTGCGTCAATCTTTTTTATTTTTTGGAGTCACGCCAAGTATTAAATTAAATACTGATTAATAGACATTTAGTTAACTGCCACTTTTTCAGTTAACTCCACCTTCATTTGTGGTTTTGGCTTTTTGCATCCCTTGCATACATGTGTCCCAAGACCCAAGGTACTGTCATGTGCTATTACTTCAAAAATGAAAATATCTCACTGCATTTAGAAATTTCCAAATTGCTATGCATTTTCAATTGATATTGAAACTTTGTTTAAATATTTATGGTATTGGAGTGTTGACAAGTGTGCAGGTTAAACTAGTTTTCTGCGAAATCGAGTTACAGTTACCTGACTGGACATGTCATTCAGTTTCTCAAACATCATTCCAATTTTGGAGTCTATTTGCATGGCTTTAACGACTTGAACAAAAAGGCACAAACTTGTGTGCTGTCATATAGTATTTCTACTTGCTTCCTTACCTAACCGATGAAGTTCCATTCTACATCTGCAGATCCAGAGATGCAGAGTCATATTGATGCAAATATTTCTAATGGCAGAGCTGAATTTGAAGTTTTTATCCTGGTATGCGTGAAAATGTTTGGGGAAAGACCATTTTATACCCTGAACAATCCACGTTATCTGTTTGACCCCCTAAACAAAATTTCAGCTCAATTTGCTGCCCCAAACTATTTCAACTTTTCCAATCTACCCCTACTGATTTTCTTGTATTTCTCTGGATAAAAGTTGGCTTTAAGTTCAAATTTCATGGCATGTTAACATTATATCCTATGTTAGAAAAATGCTTTAGATTTTTCATCATTGTTTTTAATGCAATTTTGTATTTCTAGGGTTAATTTAGTAGTAAGTTATCCTAACCTTGAATATATTCATGAGAATTTCTTATTGAAATTTTTTATAATGTTATAATGTCCTTTAGCCCCTCAAAATTGGCACTTATGTGGGTAGATAAAAACTACAAATCTCATTGGGATTAGATTAGGCTGAAAAAGATTTGGGGGAGTAAATTGAGTCGATATTTCATTCAAGGATTATTAAATGGACAAACAGGGTTGTTCAGAGTAGTAAATTAGCTAGACTTTTTCCAAAATGTTCATTACCCTCTCAATATTTTTGTACTAATTAGCAGTGGATGTTGCCTATGAAGATAACAGGTGGTTTACTTGGAAAGCATGTTCTCCTAGAATCTTTATCATTGTGACAAGCGTTATATTGTTCCTAATGCAATTGTAATCTTAGTACTCATGTTTATAGCTTACTACTACAATTTGTCTTTGGTGAACTATTGATTTAGTTCTTGAAGACATAGATCATGTATTCTATGGCTTCATTTGTTGGGACTTTAAGACACTTGATTAGATCTATTTAAGGATGAGAGAAATGCGACATCAATTGTTGTATGCTTATTTTATCGTTTGGTTTTATGTAATAGGTGTCTTGATGTTTCCCTTCCCCTGTGTAGAATAGGTCCTGCATCCTATTGTTGAAGGAAAACAGTTGGGTGTCGCTGCTAGAGTTAAGGAAGACAATGAGCAACGGAGAAGGGCTTTACAAAGGGGGGGCTAGCAAGCCGGGGATTTGTCCAAATGGCTGTGTTTTGTTTGCGTGTTTTTCAGCCCCTGCTTCTGTTTCTGTACCCGTCTAAGCGGGTTGCGACCTGTACATAAACTTCATTCTTTCCTTCCTTAATTGAGAGGCAGAGCTCCTGCCGTTTGTTTCAAAAAAGAAGTATTTGCATGTTATGATCTTGTTTGGGAAAGTAGCCATGGCAGCCTTCTGTTTTGGAGTTGTTCAGTTAGGACTTTCAGTTCATTTCTGGCAATTCCTGTTATACTCCTATCCTCCTAGCAACCATCTGGCGCGGCTAGCTGAACAGTCGTTTATTGATTGCACTATGATTGTATCATGCATATTTTCTACTGATGCCGGAAAAAGTTTAATTAAAAATATCTAAGTGCTGGGGCTGATTTAGACCTTTTGTGAAGCAGGCTCATTCTTCTGAGGAATGGGAACTGGCTACATTGGTGCTTAGACGACCTAACTATCAGATTAAGTTCAAACACACCAGTGAAATTATAATTGATAAGCGGTGAAATTATAATTGATAAGTACTCACCAACTCTACAGGTATATTTTTTTCCATCCTAGTAATTATGAATCTACAGTAACTATTTGATTAATCCAACATGTTTATTCTATTCTCTTGTATTGAAATTTGTCTTTGCAGACAAAAATTCCAAATGGGCGCACAACTCAATTTGTTATAGAAACTGCGGGTGCAACTCTTCAATTTAACACACAAGGAATATAGGATTACGATGTTAGGTACCAACTGTGACGCCTTACTTCATTATCACCCTTCTCTGTGGCACAATTTTGATTTCATTTTTGCAAATAAAATAAAAGGGAAATCCATATATCTGATTATCTGACTCTTTTAGGTGTGTTTACATGTTTTCATTTGTTTGATTTTCACTAGGTTAGTGCCCGTGCGTTGCTACGGGAGCTAAAGATTAGAACAAGGCATACAATGAACAGACTCAAACAAAATTGTCAAAATGATAGATTATTAGATTATGTGATTAAGTTACAAAAGCTCAAGCTGTTTCTATGTACCTACCTTTTATGCAACAGATAGATGACTTCGGATCAAACCGTAGCAGTGATCACCACGAGATTATGTACTCACAACTCAAGAAAAGCCAAATTGGTCTAGTGCTCAGCTTAACTTGCTTCGACCACCAAACAAAATGCTTGTGGGAGGCTGGAGAAACCACTGTCAACTGCAAATGTATGTGCCATAATTTGTTGTCAAAACAGACACCAGGTGAATGTTACTCAAACCTAGCACGCCATTTATCGTCCACATCTTTTGCTTAAGCAATGCTCTGAAATTTGGTTGAAAAATAACATCGAAGTAGCAAAATAATCTGCTTAAGACCAACCAAACCAATGTATACCTTCTTAGCGATTTGTCAAACCCGAGACAGTCTATACCTGCTCCAACTCCAAACTCAACATCCTGAACAAGCACCTCCCCTCTGGCCTGGTTATAGGATATTGCTGTTGTTATCGAAAGGACCACTGTTACTCCCTCATCACTTCCTCCTCTTCCTCAGCCGTGAAGTCGTTCTTGATGTTGAACTTTTCGTGGATGTCCTCTGGAGTCTTCCCCTTCATCATGTCCGTGACGCTCAGGCAAGTCAGGTTCAGCAGGCCCCTTGATGTCCAGGTAGTTTGCAGCCTGCGAAGACCAATTACATGAATGTGACAGTCATGTAAACTATTCAGTAACTTTATGATCTATGAAGGTACACAATAGAGTCGTACAATGTATTTATTTCTTTAGACACTACAAATGGCAAAATTACAAACCAATATCAATTCTGTAAAGCTAGTATTATCACTAAACATTGACCATTACCAAGCATCCAAGACTTCGACTATACATGTGCACCAAGCATGGCAGAACCATAAAACTGCCCCAGCTTATCCTAAATCAGCAGCCAAACCTTTCGGAATAATTTCAAATATCTATGGATCCAAGTACAACATTGATCATGAGTAGAAAGGTATAAACCACTCCCAATTACCAAGTGAACAATTTCAAATGCCTCATTTTTTCTGGTTATGCTAGAGCAACTTAATTGACACAACCTTAGTATATATATAAGAGCAAACTTTACGTAAGGGTAATTTTTTGACTCATACTATCAAAGAAGACATACCAACCCTGCACATCTTATCATAAGCACTTTGCCACATCCTACAACTTCATCTTCTGTTTGCCAGAGCAAGGCTGAGGTCCCACAGTTGTGGTCTCCTGTACGCTCCAGGGTTCACTAAATCAGCTCCCTTTCTTGCAGTCTGGCCAAATGGAGGATGACACATAATCAAAAGACAAAATGAATTGAAATAAATTGTCTGGATGGACAAGCATCGCAGCTTCTTGATAAAGATCAATAATAGCATAAATAAAATATGAAGAAAATCTGGAGCGTCATGTTGTGGACCTGGGTACCATGAGTCCTGCGCTTGCACGCTGGCCTCCATGACGGCAGGGTCTCACCAGGAGCATCAGTGCCAACTCCAGCCTGCCACTGCCGTGCAAGAAAAGAAGCTAGCATAAGTAATCTGGTCTAAATTTCAGTCAAGAGCGGCATTAGTAAATAAGAAAGAACAACTGCATAAACATCTCACATTCATGTATCAAATAACATTGCAGTAGGTTTAGATAAAAGTAAAGTATGCATTAAATGGTTATCTTAATTGTTGCAAATAAAGAAGTTATGTAACATATAACCAGCATAACAACAAAGGTATGACTGGTGGCTCTGAAATCTCGCAAGTAGTCTCATGAGTGGTGAAAAGGGACTGGACCTCTGAACATTCTTGTACAGAAAAAAAAAGAACACAAGAGGAACCTAGTTCCAGATTCCAACAGATCTATAAATGGATAATGAGATTTATATGAGATTCATAAGCTTCCAACAAACTTATAAACTGAAATCCAGACTGAGAGTACAGACTTAAATGCTACATTTGATCACTGAACCCAGATATAGTATTTGAACAATACCTAAGTGGCACGCTCTAAAATTATGACAGCACAAAAGTGGTCATTTAGAGGTTAAACAATAGCAAGGACACATTTTGATTGAAGCAAACTCCTTTTAAGAGAGCTAAATTGCACAAAGCATGTACATGGAATAACTATTCTTGATGCTTCAACGGATAACAGAGACAAGTAGTTTTAAAATTAAAAAACAAACTCCCTCTTAAACCTTGTCCTTCCCTCCTCCCTCTCTCCACTTCAAGATTAAGATCGATACAAATGGAAGCGTTTAGCTAAAATAATTCATTTAAGATAAGTAGAGAGGTGATATACCTTTTCCAAACACCTTGGCTCACAATTAAATTGATCAGCAACTTCTTCTCAATTCAAAAGACAAACTGAAGAGCAATGTTTCTTCTTTCCAAATGAGAATGGAAAAAGGAAATCATATCTTTCCAATTTTGATGTAATATGGGGATTGATGGAGTTAGGTTGCGGATGCTGCTGCAATAGCTGCTGTTTCAGAGCTGGTTGCACAGGAGCAGAAGGTGCAACCTTAAGTTCCTCCAGAAGTCCCTACACAAGGTATACAAATAAAATATAATCTTTTAGAATGCAGACTTAGAATGCATATAGCAGACCTAGAGGCTGTGATGGTTGAGGCACTTAACAGCGAGGACGACCATGAGCCGGTGGAGCAGAAGAAGGCACGGTAAACGGAGCCGAAGCCGCCCTTGCGGACCTTGAGCATGCAGCTGAAGCCGTTGGTGGCTTTGACGAGCTCGTCGAGATCAAACATCCACAAGCGTTGTGCTCCCCGCTCCTCCGACAGCTCCTGGATGCTCCGTGTGGGTAATTTCTGTCATTGCAGAATCCCTGTACTTCTTCATGCCCCTGATGATCTTGATAGCCACCATTTCTTCCTTTTCCCTATCCCAACACTACAACAACTGACCAAAGCTAGACACATTCAGTTATGAATATAAGCAGGACGAGTAGATTATTAACTACAAATGGTATAATAAATAATGGCAAAACAGTATGATTATACATATTATAATCCTCGTAACACTATGCAAATAATCAATAGGCCCCTTGAATGAGATTTTACATTTACCAGACTCCTGAGAGAAGCAGCCATGACCAACGTTAGTTTCAAGCACAAAACAGTGATAATATTCAAGCTTGTAATGCTAAGAAAGAAATCCCACTCACTGCCTGCCCTCACTACCATTCCTACGACCAAGCACATCAGCGGTGCATGATTTGACCTGTACAAAATAATAATTTCAATATTGTTTCGACTTAGAATGTAGGATCACCAAGAACGAAGAATCAATTAAAGAAGTGGATGTGAAAAGGTAAATATCCAAACCAGCTCAACCTCCATGGTGATGGGCGCATACTCCTTATCCTAACCACTGGATATTGCCATACTGGAGATGATATAGAGTGACACTTTCTAAAAGCATTTTCACAAACAGGTGTTGAGCATGAGACATTGGTATTCATAGATTCAAACAAAGTGAACCAGATTAAGCGCGGACCGGAACTGGATGTAGTTGCTGACCTGCGCATGAGCTGGGCCAGGAGGAGCAGGAGCGAGATGGGGAAGCAGAGCTGGAGCCAGAGTCAGGGAGGGCACGGGCAGTTTGGCCTCCACGGGCTGCTGGCGCCAGCGACGGAGCCAGCGCCCATGCTACCGGGGCTTCAGCCCGGGCTACCGATCGAGGGAACGTGGAGCCCCTCCTCAGCCCCACCTTAATTTTTTTGCCTAATTATATGGATTAAGAAGGGCTAAAATCTTTTAAAAATGAAAAAATGGCACTTTTAGTTATTGGGCCTTCATAGAGACAGAACATCACAACACAGGCCCAAATCCAATCGTGAAACAAACCCTATTGGGTACGGGGTACCATCGGCCGCTGCATCCCTTCCCTCGCGTCCCGACTCTTCGCTTGACATTCTAGCGGCGGCGGCGGCTTCCTCTTCCTTCGTCGCTGCATCTTCTGGCGGCTTCGCGTGGGGCGGGACGCAGGCGGCCACGGCGCTTGGCCCAGCGGCGCGGACGCACGGCGGCCAGGGCGCTCGCCGGCCTTGCCCCAGCGGCGCGGGCGCGCTGCTGCTGGACAGCGGCGGGGAGCCGAGGAGGCCAGCCGCAGGCAAGGACGCGACTACGCAAGGTGGGCGGGCGGGCGCCGGCGGCCGCAGCGTGCAGCGCTGCGAAGCTCTGGAGTTTGGAGGCAGGCAGGCGAGCATCAACCAAGCAACAGAGCAGGTAGGTGATTTTTTAAGGGTCATTTTTAACTGTAAAATTGAGTACGCAGTCCATGATGTGTGTTGAATGTTTGATTATGATAGATTTCAAATTTTTAGATTTCCAGTATGTCGAAAAGAACTTTGATGAACTACTATTCAAGTGCAAGTGGCAGTGGCAGTGGCTCAACTCCACATACTAATGAGAGCACAAGTCAACCAAAGAAACTGAGGGAAGAGTTTAGTCATTCAAACCTAATTGCTGACCCTGCACAACACAAACCAATTGATTCTTATGATCCAGCAATTAGAGACCAATTAAAGAGAGCATATGCTTTGAGTGGTCCAACCCAACCTCATGAATTTAAATTTCCTTCTAAATGGATGGTTGATCAATGGAGAACGTTTCAAAAGTCTTGGTTTGATGAATTTGATTGGCTAGAGTATAGTGAGTCCAAGGATGCTGCTTTTTGCTTATATTGCTATTTTTTCTTTAATTCGGGAAAGCCTGAAAAATTTGGGAATTCTGTCTTTGCACATCAAGGTTATATAAATTGGAAGAATGCTAAGGATACTTTTCAGAAGCACAGTGCTTCCAAGAATCATACAGAGGCTAGACTAAAGTGTGATGATTTTATGAACCAAAGGACTAGTGTGGGTCGAAGAATAGTTGAGGTAAGCATGGAGGAAGAAAAGCGATATGAGATTCGTCTAACATCATCTTTAGATGTTGCAAGATTTCTTATCTTTTCGTGGAGATGATGAGAGTTGTACTTCCCTCAACAAAGGTATATTCAGAGAGATGGTTGATTGATATAAAGATAAGGTAAATATAGTCAATGATGCATATGAAAAAGGTTCTAAAAATTGCCAGATGATATCTCCAGATATACAAAAGGATCTTGCAAAAGCTTGTGCAGAGGAAGTCACAGCTGTCAGTATGGATGAGATTCGAGGTAGAAAATTCTCAGTGCTTATTGATGAGTCCCAGGATGTATCAATAAAAGAGCAAATGACAGTCATTCTAAGGTTAATACTCCACAATTGTAATTTTGGTCAGAGCTTATTTTGTGCATAGATTTTATTACAATTATTTCTACAATTATACTAACATATAAAAAAATGTATTGTGCAAGTTTGTGAATGATAAAGGGCAAGTGGTGGAGAGATTTCTTGGACTTCAGCATGTTCAGAGTTGTATAGCTATTGCATTGAAAGAAGCTTTGGTTGATATGCTTTCAAGTCACAATTTGTCTATCTCTATGCTTCGTGGGCAAGGGTATGATGGAGCTTCTAATATGAGAGGTGAATTTAATGGGGTGCAGAAATTGATTCGTGATGAAAATCCTTATGCTTTCTATGTGCATTGTTTTGCCCATCAATTACAATTAGTGGTTGTTGCTGTTTCCACTTCTAGTGCAGACATTGCAGATTTCTTTAACTATGTTCCTTTAATAGTCAGCAATGTGGGTGCATCTTGTATGAGAAAAGATGCCTTGCTTGCAAAGCATCAGGATGTGTTGCTAGAAAAGATTGAGAAGGGTGAGATTATAACTGGAAAAGGTTTAAATCAAGAAAGTAGCCTAGCTAGGCCAGGAGATACAAGATGGGGTTCACATCTTAAAACTTTGCTTCGCATTTTGGCGATGTGGGAGGCTATCATAGATGTGCTTGAGATAGTGAAAAAAGATTCTATTAAACCAAGAAATAATGGTGGAGCTTTAGGTTTAATTGAAAAAATGGAGAGCTTTGATTTTGTGTTCATCCTGCATTTGATGATACAATTGTTGAGCATGACAGATATTTTGTCACAAGCTTTGCAAAGGAAGGATCAAGACATAGTTGAAGCAATGCATTTGATCTCAGATATGAAAGATAGCTTGCAGGATATGAGGGAAAATGGATGGGAGCCATTACTCAAAAGAGTGATAACATTCTGTGAGAAGAATGAGATTGAAGTGCCAGATATGGATAAGGAAATAAATGTTAGAGGGACACCTAGAAGAAGGAAGCAAAAGGTAACAAATATGCATTACTATCATGTTGAGCTTTTTCTGGTCGTCGTTGATGCCCTCTTGACTGAGATGAATCATCGGTTCAGTGAAACTAGTTCAGAATTATTAGTATGCATGACTACTTTTAACCCAAGGGACTCCTTCTCTAATTTTGATGTGAAGAAACTTGTGAGGCTTGCTGAAATTTATGCCGATGATTTTGATATTGGTGAACTTGCTGTTTTGCCAAATCATCTTACACAATTTGTCAACCGTGCTAGAAGAACTCCAGACTTTCTTGGATGCACTGAGCTTGGAAAAGTTGCTAAAATTATGGTCAAGACTAAAATGCACACATCTTATAAATTGGTTTATCGTCTCATTGAGCTAATCTTGATACTACCAGTGGCAACAGCTTCAGTTGAGAGGATATTTTCAGCCTTGAACATTATAAAGACAGATTTGCGCAATAAAATGGGTGATGAATGGCTCAATGATTTGATGATATGTTATACTGAGAAGGAGATATTTAGAAAGATTGATAATGAAAAGATCAAAAAGCGGTTTCAAGAGATGAAAAAGCGATGTATGTTATTGCCTAAAAAAGTAATGGTACGCTCTATTCTCTTCTAAATTTATAATTTGGAGGTCTATATATCAATATATGTATGACTAATCGATTATGTCTATTTTGTGTAGGTTGCTACTTCGGAGGAATAATGTGGGGGGATTTATTAGTTTCAAAATTGGTCCTTTCGGTATGAATGAACTTCATCTTTTTTTTAATGTTGTATTTTGTGAATTTCGACTTTGGTCACGTTTTCAATATAATATTAATTCAAGCTATTATATATATGTCTATTGTGTGGGGCCATAGTAGAGATAAATCGCTGTAGACTTTTGTTCAACCCGACCTAAATTTTTTCCTGGCTTCATCGCTGGCTGGCGCCGCGGCGGGGCGGCGGATCTGAGGCGAGCGCGACGCGGCGGGGTGGCGGTGTGGACGTGTGGTCACTGCTCCACAAGTACCAACACCTGGCGGCGAATGGCGAGGAGCGGAGGCCGGGTCCGTGTGCATGGGCAGTGCGGAGCTATTACAGCGGGGGCAGGCGGAGCCAGGGCGGCTCGTCGTTGTCGTCGTCCTCATCCATCTTCGCCTACGCAGTCTTCATGGACACGAGCTCTCAGTTCGTCCTCCCACCACCGGAAGGGGCGCACCTCCATGGGCGGCAGTTCCTCGACGGCGAAATTAAACGGGCAGCTGGAGCAGGGCGGGGTGGGCGCGGTCGAATCCTTGTGCAAGGGCGGGGCTGAGCTATTGCGGCGGGGGAGGAGGGGCAGGCGACGGGAGATGGAGCCTGGTAAGTGGTGCGGGTGGAACAAAAGGAAAAACCGTCGGAGGCTGCCGGGGTTCTGGGTCTTTTTAGTTTTTTTTCTGGAATATGCAAAAAATTTATGTACCATTGTATTAAGAAGAAGAGTCTAAACAGACATATAACACGCTTCTATCGAGCGATAAGGAGGTCCACCCAACATAGTTGTAGCTAGACCATCCTAGTAAGAGACCTCTTGTTTCGCTATTAAATAAAAGGAAACAACCAATACAGACGCAGCGGTGTGACCTAGGAGGTGGCCCTGCGTCTTCACGGCTGCCTGGACAAGCCCTTTTCAATGGCCGGGAAGAGCGCTTCCAACGCTACGCAGTCAGGTTGCTATCGAAGAGTTTGTCCAAGGCCTCCAGCTCCGATGCGGATGGCACTGAAGGGCCCTTAGTGTAGCCATACGCTGCATGATCAACACCTCTCCTTGCTTGGAAGCAGGTACTCGGGAGAGGCTCTGAACCGCCAACTGCCTGCTCCGCCACGACAGCACCGTCTTAGCAGGAGGCTGCTTGGGAGGCTCATGAATCAGCGGAGAGTCCCTCTTACGCGTCACTTCGTTGATGAGGCTGTCGAGGCGACGTTTGGTGGAGCCGTCGTTGTCCACTGCCAGGTGGGTAACCACCGGCGGTGAACTGGGAGGGCCACCATCCACCGTGAGATCAACCGGTCCAAAGCCTGGCGGGTAGCTGTGCTCCGTGTGTGTCATCAATGAGTCCACTGCCCACTGAATGGGGCGCGAGGGTGCTGTCCGCAGCTCGTAGGAGACCGCTGTCGGGTCCACATCCTCCATCTGGGGGCCCGCCACCGCTGGGGCCTCATCCTGTAGCTGATGGGGCACCAAAGGTGACAACAGGCGGTAAAGGGAAGACGACGTGATGATCCTACCACTGACGAGCGAGGCTATGAACTCCTCTAACATCGGGTCCTCCATGATGTCGTGATCGCGTGTGGTGTCCGAGTATAACGTCAGCGTCAATGGGTCAGGCTCGACGATGCTCGTCTTGTTGGCTAGCTCGCCGTGCCCCGCCTAAGCTCCAACAGCGACCGAGGTGAAGTCCGGTGCCCGTTTGGGCGGCCCTTGCCGACCGGAGACACTCGTAGCTGCGGCGGTGTCGTCCACCTTCAGTCGTCGCCGACGCCTCTGACATCTCTGACGTCGGCGCCCACTGCCGCCACGCATAGTCGCATCCGGCACAGCTGCAGCCGCACCTGGCACAACTCCAGCCAACATCGGCGTGTTGTCGTGAGTACGCGGTCGGGTGCCCGAGGTACGCTCCCGGTCAAGTCGTCGTGGCCGTCCTTCTTTGGCACCAGATGTGCCGGAGGCAGAAGGAGGTACCATCCGCCGCCGCTTGCAGTCCCGCGTGAGGTGTCCGAACCCCTTGCACTGAAGGCAGCGTGGAGGCAGATGGCAGGTTGCCACCCTGTTCACGGAGGAGAGGCAGTTGAAGCACTTCCCCCGCAGGTCTGCCGGGTAGCGGGTGGGGAGGTGATGGTTCGCCAAAAATGCAGCGCGAGCGGGCTGTGCTCCACTTGCGCCGCATGACGACCCCTGCGACAGGACCTCATGCCAGCCGTCAGCGTCCGGAGCGGAGATGCGCTGGTGGGCGGCGAAGCGTGGACCAGGCCGCCTGTGAACTTCATGTCCGGCCGCCGCTTCATTGCCACGGTCAGGAAGTCCATGAATGAGTCGCGAGCGTGGCCGATTGCGCTTACGTCGGCGTCCTGCGCACGGCTGACCGACTGCTCGGCCGCCAGCGCCAACAATGATGATGGAACGCGGCCGCTCTCTCTCAGGCAGTGGCGACATCCTCAGCGCCTGCGGCTCACGAAGAACCGCGTCAAGGTAGGAGCTTGGGTGGACGGACGGTGACACTTCCACATCGGAGTGGCCAAGGTCATCGTCCGCCTAGCGACGGGCCTTGGAGCACCCTGTCGAACTCCCCCAGTGGAAGGGAGCGGCGTTGGGGAGGGGTGGACGATGGCCTTGTGGACGAAGCCGCTTCATTGGTCTAGCGCCCATCGTCCCCGAGGCCCGAGCACGGTCGACGAGGAAGGCGTCGAGGGGTCAACGACGAACGCAAGGGCGACCTTAGAGAGGACGCGGACCTAGGGGCGGGCCGCGACGGGTCGAGATCCATCCCCACCGGGCTTCTGGCGCTGTTTTGTCTTTGCTGACGAGCGAAGCGCCCATGATCGCCCGCATCGGGTGCCTATCAAAGGCACCTCCCCAACCACAAAGCGAGGTCGTGGCTTCCCCTGTCTCCGGCGATGGCGGCTCCACGTGGTCCGGTCTTCTCCAAGACGTCTGGCGGCGGCGCGCGGCTGGCGCCATCATCCCTGCCAATGGCGGATCCGCCTGCACGGGCCTGGGTGGCATCGCCGGGATCTGCGGTGGCGGTGTTGGGGGAGGCGACGCGACGGCCGATGGCGAAGAGACTGGTGGCGGCGGCGGCTGGGAGGCAGAGCGATGGCGGCGGCGTCGGCGTTCGGCGTTGGCGACAACCGCCGCAGTGAGCCACCTCCCGCTCCGGTTTGGGTCATCTCAGGGGCTGTAGGGAGGGGAGAGGGGAGGGGGAGGAGAGGTGGAGGGAGGGGCGGCCGGGATGGTGGCCGCCGGCGGCGGCGGGCTGGGGGTGGCCGCCAGGGCGCCACTAGGGCAGCGCTTGGGTGCCTGGTTGGGTCTTTTTAGGGCCTCTTTGGCACGGCTTATGTCGGCTTCGACTTCATCTATTTTACGCAAATCGAGGCACTGTAGCATGAAGCCGTTTTGTAAGCCAAGGTTAAAATGAACTAGAAGCCGAGAAAAGCCAGTTTTTCTGGCTTCACCGGCTTTAGCTTCACCGGTAAAGCCGTTTTGGATGAGCCGTGTCAAAGGGGACTTTAGTTGTAGAGATTCATGGTTGGTAAGCTCTAGATGCTTAAAGGAAAGGCAAGGCTTACAATCCGTGAAGATTCTAGGTAGAACCGTAGAAGTTTTCCTCTTTCTGATTGGTTTGTGCAGTATTCGATAATTTTTGTTCTTGAGGTGGAATAAGTTCTATATAATTTTTGTTCTTGCAGTGGAATAAGCTCTAGATAATTTCAAGAGTTACCTGGTGGAGGCGTGAGGGGACATAAATGGTTAGAGGAACCTAGGATCAGTTCTTATCCTACTAGGATTAATAGTAAATTGTAGGTTTGTTTATTTCTTTTTTCTTCTCATTGCTTTGCTCTAAGTTATGCCACATCACTGTGGTAAATTTGAAGCAGCCAGTGGTGCCGTGCCGCCAAGTAGAGCACCCAGCTTTAGTTACTTACCAGATGCAGTTTTGGCCGAGTTTTCTCATATTTGAGCCATGGGCATCGCTGCAGAAGTATAGTGTTGCAGGCTTGTAGTGGGGTCTATCCTAGTGAGTGATCAACATACTGTTTTCATTTTTCAACCAGGACTAGCAGTCTGCTAGTTGGTTCTGGGAGGCGCATCTTACGCTTGTAAACTCTATTCCTTTTTATTATTGTAAGCCGATACCCAACCCGTGCCTTTCAAGGGAAAAAAGAAGACATTCTGCATGGAATGAACTCCAGATGAGGATTCGGCTCAGACGCCCAGTAGAGCACCTAGATGCAGTTTCTGTAGTCTGGACCTTGTTTCTTTGCTGTTTAGATGCATGCAGTTTTTTCCACAATAACCGAATTTCATTACTGAGGCAATTAAATTACAAAGTTCAGATTTAGATGCAGATTTGGGTCATGTTTTCCCAGAACATTGACCTTTTGTCCTAGTTTTGACGCATTGCACCAAAAAAGGACGTCAAAGCAGCCAGACGGGCGGGTGAGAACAAACGATACAAGCACAATATAAAATACGACCACTCTGCGGCGTGTGCTGTTTGAGGTTGATTAAAGCAGGATAATCTTGCTTCGTTTAATAGCGAACACATACAAAGCACCCGTAACTAAGACTGTTTTCGACGACCATTATTCAAAATACAAGACCTATTCCACGTTTGGATAACGGTATAGGCAGAAGGGTTCAATACTCATTTTTTATCTTCTCCAACAACAAGACTCAAAAGAGAGAACCCTTTCTGCAAATGAGTCTCCAGAAGAGAGAATACTCAGATTTGGATTATACCTCTCCTAACATTAAAAATTGGTCTTCCATTTAGGTACTCTGTTGGAGTTACTGTGTTGGAGACTAAAAATTTGGCAGGTACTCTGTTGGAGGTATTTTATTGGAGACTTGTTTTGGATTTGGGCTCCTGTCGCAGACAGCCAAAGAACCGATAGAATTGGAAGGAGCTCGGCAACGGACTCCAACGAGACCAGGTCATGTGTACTGTACGGTGTACCCACCCGGAGCGCACTGCATGGTGGAGCTAGTTGCACTTGCACGGAGCAAGGAGGTGCTTTAGGACGGCGATGGCCAATGCGGCTTGCAGGAACCGTCCTGCTGCCACTGGCACGAGGACGAGGAGAGACACGCCGAGCAGCCAGAGGAGGAGGCCAACGAAGGCCTGCGTCGCACTGGCGGCGGGGTTGTCGAAGCCTGCAGAGAAGATGGTGGCCACGCCCAGCAGCATGAGCACGCGCGCGGTGTCGAGAAGTGGCTGGAGACGAAAGTCGCGGCGGCTCGTGACCACGGCATCCCGTCGCTCGTCCATTGCAGCTGGAGTGCTGGTGCTGGGCGTCTCGCTTGGACGACCTGCGTGGCCGGGGCTGCGACTTGGCTCTGGAACTCTTGGAAGGGATGTGTGCTATGCTGTCTAGCTGGGCGTGGGGCTAGAGACGAAAGCTCGCTTCGTTTTATAGGGCCTTCAGAGTGCATTGCGAGGCCAGACATGCCTGCTCACACATTCTTTCTCGATCTCGAAATGAAAACACCCCACGTCGCTATCAGAGTGCAGGGTATGAGGGTCTGGTTGGCCGGTCTTCCCTTAGCTGCCACTACGCTAGCTATCAAAGTGCAGAGTGCAGACTGCACACTGCAGACACAGCGCTTTCCTTTGCGATCGCTATCAGAGAGGGCAGAGCACTTTATCTTGCCTTCTCTGAGTCTGAGAGCGCTATGCTTTGCCGTTGTCTTAGGTATCAGAGTGCAGAGTGCAGAGTGCAGAGTGCAGACACAGCGCTTTGCACTGCGATCGCTATCAGAGGGCAGAGCACTTTATCTTGTTTCTCTGAGTGCAGTTGCGTTGCGATCGCTGTCAAAGGGCATAACACTTTATTTGCCCTTCTCTGCGCTACCTCAGTTTTGACCTCCGAGAACGCTATATATGCTTTGGCGTTATCTCAGAGTGCAGTTGGGTTGCGATCGCTATCAGAGGGCACAACACTTTTTGGCTTTGTCTGCTCTACCTGAGTACCGAGAGCGCTATGCGTTGCGATTACTATCAAAGGGTGGAACGCTTTGGCCTTGTCTTGGCGATCAGAGTGCAGAGGAGCGCTTTGCGATGCTATCACATCACTATGAGAGGGCGCAACGCTTTCGCCTTGCATTTGCGATCAGAGTGCGCAGAGCTTCTGCGTTGTTGCGATCGCTATGTCTATGTGAGGCCCGAACGCTTTTACCTTGCCAATTTGCCACTGCATGCAATAGAGAGGAAAAATGTTTGGGGGCATGCATATTTTAACAGGTGGGGCATAGGATTACAGGATGTCAGTGTCCGAGTGATAAGGAAACATTGAAATAAAGCACACGGGGAGTAAGAACACAACACGTTAAAATGTTGATGGCTTGATGCAACGTGTCCTAACGGTGGTCAGCTCCGACATCCAAAAAAAAAAAAATGATGCTTGCTAAGTTGCACTGGAAATCGATTGTCAAAAGAAGCATCCATCTAACTACTGGATCCGAGCTATATATTAAACTACGAATCAACTTTTAGAACAGGTGACATGTGACAACCCTAGCTCCTAGTACAAGTTGGTGACATCACAGGTAGCCAATTGTGGACAGAAGGCGGTGGGTCTGTGGGAGATTGCCGGCAGAGGAAGGTGACATGGCGAAGGCGGTGGGAGATTGCCGGGGTGGAATGGAAGATGGGCAAAAGGGACAACATTTTCCACCTATCAGGTTTAAGTTTTTAGCAAGTTGGATTTCTCTTTTGAGATCTCTCCAATAAGATTTTGTCCATGCGTGCTTCCCCCTTGGCTGGTTCCTCCTTGTTAAGAGTGTATTACAGATCATCCCTCCGAATCGGTTAAGCTAGTGTTAGGTTTTGCTGAATACACTAACATGGTAAACAAAAGCTCGGCTTGTTGTTAGGGTAGCTCACCTTTTACATGCGCTGTGGCAAACAAGCGCCTCAAAAACATTTTTTTTTCATACGTCTGTGACGTCAATCACTACCACACGGCGGATTGTCATTGTCTATGTAACCCTTGAATGGAGAGATACAGAACAACAAGAGGCTGATTGGATGGGACCTACAAGAAAAATTATATGCTCCATCTGGGTTGGAAAATGCAATTCGAACGTGAAAGGTATACCTGAATAAATCAATTCTAGAGTTTAAATTAATTTCTAGACTTATTAGTTTTTTTATATTTAATCAAGTTTATAGAAAAGAACATAAATGTTTATGACACCAAGTATATTATACAAATATATTTAATGTATCTAATGATAATAACTTGGTTTCATTTTTTAAGACATTTTGTTTGTGTGTTCCTCTTAGTCAAACTTTTTATATAAATATTATTTATTTTGTTATGACTTATTTTATTATTAGAGATGCTTTAATAGTAACTTATTTATTTTATTATTTGCAAAAAAACCAAATCAGACAAATGGTCAAACATGATATCTAAAAGTCAAAGGCGTCATCTATTTTGAGACGCAGCCGCTGCCTACTCGTACGAGAGCACATGTGCTGCTTCCTGCACCCGCTCCTCAACCCAACCCACATCGACTCCTCGCCGCCCACACCGACTCCCCGCCGCCTCATGCGCTACTTCCCGTCCCCGCACCCCGCCGCTACGCCGCCATCCCCGTCGCTCCTCACGGGCATCCTCTCAGACCTCGCGGAGATCAGCAGCTCCTTGTGTCCGTCGCATGTGGCCAGGTGGCCAAGAGAGGGGGTCGTTGCTGGTCGAGCCCAGGCCAGGCGGAGACGCAGCTGGCTACTGGCAAGGCGCACCACCATTGTCAGCCACCGGCTTGCCGGACTCAGCCGTTCCCTCGCTCTGTGTCGTGTTGTACAGAAGAAGGGTGAAACCGCATGTTGCAAGAGTATGTTTCATGTGTTTCAGATGTTTTAGAGGCATGTTGCAAGTGTTGTATATCGATGTTGCAAAAGTAGATCGGGATGTTGCACATGTTGTAATGGCTATACACGTATGTTTGATGTTATGTTTCAAATGTTTCATCTGGTCCAGACATATGTTGCAAGTATTTTATCTAGATGTTGTAAAAGTAGATCTAGATGTTGCATATACACGCATGTTGCAAGCATATGTTTCAAGTGTTTTTAGATGTTTCATACGTATGTTTGCAAGTGTTTCATCTGGTTGTTGTATATGTTTGCAATGATTTTGAAATGTTTTTCAGACGCTTTCGCAAGTGTTTCAATGCTTGTTTCAAGTGTTTCATCTGACTTTTTTTTTTATGTTGCAACTGTTCTATCTGGATATTTTAAAAGTAGATTGAGTGTTTATATGGGATGTGGGAAGCTGCTGGCAGTGCGGACGACGTCCGTAATGGCATGGACCCACTGCTGATGTGTTTGCTCGCGAGCTCGATGCGCTAGGCGCTTGCTCCCTCTCCGTACGGGCAGCGTCCAGGCGCTAATATCCGGATCGGACGTCCGGACGCTAGCAAGGCTGATCAAAGATTAAGGGCACTATGGACGTTAGTGATCCTTTTCTCCGCGTTGGGGAGCGGCGTCTCCGTGCCAAGCACCCATCACACGGCCACGGCCAGAGGCCAGGGGGGGAGACCAAATACTCATCACTTCTATATAAGGATTAAGGACCCCCAGCCCTTCCCCACCAAACGCACCCAACCGGAAGGTGACCAATTTTCCCCCGCGCACCAATGGCCGGCCAAGGAGAGGAGGCCGTCGTCGTTCCGGAAGGAGACCGCTAGCCTCTCCAGAACCAGGAACTCTTCCTCAACGCCGCTCGCGCGCTGATGCTTTTCGGCGCCGCCGCCAACATCATAGCCTCCTCCGAGGACCCCATGCAGGCGTTCCTCAGCCTTCGATCTGCTGTGGTTGCTAGGCGCGTGCCTCCTCGCCCTGGTGCCAGCGGCAGAACATTTCCCGCGAGCCGCACTGGCTGCCGTTGCCATCCTGAACTTGAAGCACTTGTTCACTCTGTGCAACTAGCTCGACGGCCTCGGTCCTCGGAGTCGGAGTTGCATGGTGCAGCTGGACCACTCGTTGCTAGTTTGCTCTTTGGCGTGGTTTTGGCATTTTGAAAGTCAATAAGGATGATGAACTTTTTCTTTCTTTGCTCCCGCGCTTCGGTTTCTTCCTTACGCGAGTCTGGTCCTGTTATATGCTCTGTGTTGGCCGTGGTAGAAGAAGCTGTGTTCTGGAGTGAAGCCTTTTGTATTGTGCTATACTGCTATGCTGTCCGGCGTAAACCAAACGAAGCAGAGTGCTCCTATGTCAGTCAGACAGGTGCCACGTATCCCCCGGTCATGTCTGTTCTATTTCTTAACAGAAGATCTGTCTTCCCATGTTCTATTTCTTAACAATAAAAATCTTTCTGTCACCCAGTGCCGTCTGATCCTCCGGTTGCAATCAGAGATTTCTAATGGAATCCTAGCAGGTTCATTCAGGTTGGCTGCCACTGTCTGAATCTCGAACGCAGCTCCTGTCATATGATGCAAAATCGATGCATAATAGCAGGACAAGGCCATTCACATGCAGCGAGTGCGAGTGCGAGTGCGACAGGTTAAAGAAACCTGGCGGGATCTCTCCTTGCACTGCATGGTGGAGCTAGTTGCACAGAGCAAGGAGGTGCTTTAGGATGGCGATGGCCAATGCGGTGGCGACGGCCAATGCGTCTTGCAGGAACCGTCCTGCTGCCACTGGCACGAGGACGAGGAGACACACGTGACACGCCGAGCGGCCAGAGGAGGAGGTCAACGAAGGCCTGCTGCATCGCACTGGCCGCGTGGTTCTCTGAGCCTGAGAAGATGGTGGCTACGCCCAGCAGCATGAGCACGCGCGCGGTCATTCGGAGAGCGCTATGAGTTGCAGTTACTATCAAAGGGCGGAACGCTTTGGCGTTGTCGTCGCGATCAGATTGCAGAGAGCGCTTTGAGTAGCAATCACCATCGTAGGACGGTAGGAGGTAGGACGGAACGCTTTGGCCTTGTCTTTGCGATCAGAGTGCAGAGAGCCAGAGAGCGCTTTGTGTTGTTGCGATCGCTATCTGAGGCCTCAGCGCATTTGCCTTGCCATTGCTACAGAGAGGGAAAACGCTTTGGGTCCGCGAAGTGGGCTGTGGGCAGCACCAGCACATGACTCTGCAATATTGGTTCACATGATATTCCTTGTGCCGGTCCTAAGAATTTCATGAGATGGGGTGAAACTAAAAATGAACGCTTCTTAATGTAAATGTCAAAGTTACCAATCTACTTTTTTCGTATACTTAAAAAATATTAGGCACAAGGAAAATTAACAAAAATGTTTATCTTGAGAAGACACGATGGATATATATGTTCCTATGTCATCCATGGTGAGTGACTATCATGGCTGTGGCAGGATGATTGAGTTTTAGTTGGGTTGGTTCTAGCGTGATTTGGACTAACCAGGGTATCGAATTTGTGTGTTGTGCAACACATTTCTTAGTTTGTGAATACGAAGGTGTTGAGTATATTGGGATGGTTGACGCCATTAGAGAAGGTCAAGCAAGGGATTTTAGTTGATGGACCACGGACGGTGAAGACCGAATATGAAAACTTGACTAAGGGACCAAGAGGCCGAACGACAGACCAAGGATGCTTAGCATTTGGCATGGCGACGAGCAAGAGCACATGCGAGATGGATGAAGACAAAGTTAACTGAAATCAAGGTTGAGGTTGGACATGCAAGTCAAGGCGAGACGTCATGGACACTTGGTGGGTCATCGGGCCGAGGACATAGAGGACACACGTTGATATTGGAGGGGATGCGTTTCGGCTAACACGACCTTGGAGAGTTTGCCAAAACCATGGGAGGAGTAGTTCTCAGGTTTGGACCCTTCAAATCCAAGGGATGATAGGGTGCCACATGGCATTAATGCAGAGCTTGCATCGAGGCGAAGTGAGTTCATGAAGGGTCAGTGATCGTCTGATGCATAGAAAACAACTTGGACCATTTTGCTCTTGATATCTAAGTGGTTTACATTATTTGATCCTAAGGATATTTTTGGAATGTGTAATAGCCTTTATAAATAAGAGGGAGGTTGCCTAAGACAGCCATCCTTCAACCACCTGTTTATTTCTGAGGATATTTAGAAGTAGAGCAGGCAATAGAGATTCCGTTTTGTAGGTTTTGACTATGAGTTAGGGAGCCAAGATAGGCCGGCAACGGTCCGTTGATGCGGGGTTGTCCGCTGCCACCGACTTGGAGGTTCACTGGATTTGGATCTTCGATTATTGTTTTCAGGTCTGACAATACTGGTAGGACAAGCAACGAAAACTGTTTCGGAGATTTTAGGTATGAGTTAGGTGCCTGAGATTGTCAGCGTTGAGATAGCCGGTGGCAATGTCGGTGTGGTACCAGCAATGATATAAAATCTTGAAGTGGACCTGTTTTTGATATTTTAGAGCAAATTCTTGAAAATCGTTGATGATGATATTCGAATAATTGTTGGAAAGATTGCAAAATTAGATTATTACAATTATTGTTTTCTATACGTACTGTTGGAGATGCTCTTAATTGTCATTAAGCTGATTGCGGAATTGTCTGTTGTTGTCTTAACTCTTAAGTCCAATGATTGAAATATATATGAAAAGTAAAACTTATACAACCGTATACGTGTACTTCCTCCGATTTCATAAAGTATGTCGTTTTGGATAGGGATACGGACTCCGAAAAACAATTTTGACCATTACTTTTTGCTATAAAGTATTTATAAAATATAGTCAATATAACTTTTATGAAACTACATTTTGAGATTAATCTACTTACATCACTTTCATATTTTCAAACTCAATCCAAAAGAATTTATTTGTAATTATTAAGTTTAAAATATTTGACTTAAGACAACCTCAAAACGGCAATGAAATTGGAGGGAGTAGTAGTTTTAGGTGATCAGGGGTGTACTGTGCTCTAATCCGACTAGTTGGACCGAAAGATTGATGCTAGATTTGACCATGAAAAAAATCCTTTTTACTTTCTCGAATTGTTGTGTTACTCCAAATTTTGTCCTCAATTTGCAAAACAATTGCCTCCTTTTACTTTCAAAACAGTTTAAATTATCTCCCTCCTCAGGTCAAAAGTGGTTTTAAGGTGGTTCTGTCATTTTCTAATTTAAAATTTCTAGTGAACAAATTCAAGTAACCAAACTTTTAAGAATATTGTATGTGATATTTCAGCCTCTAAAAGATTTTAATGAAAAAAAATTAGATCTCGGTGGGCCCTATAATTTGGTATAGGATGTGTATCCATCCGACATCATTTGAAAATTTAAATATCAAAATCTAAGATTTTTTTAATTGAATACTAGAGCTCTAAAATTTTTAAATAAAAACTTGTCAACTAAAAAGTTGTAGATTGGATTGACAACTAAAACTTTGGTAGAGATCGTGTCAACGTCCGAAGTCATTTGATAATTCTAAATTTTGAAATATGAGAACATAAAACAAATATCTAAGAAATCTAAATAACTTCAATAAAAAAACTTGCTAACTACAAAGTTGTAGATCGTATTGAGAACTGTAACTTTGGTATAGATCATGTCAACATCCGAGTTGTTTGATAATTCTAAATTTTGAATTTTAAATATTGGGAATCTAAATGTTTTTTTTTACCAGGGTTCAAAATCTAGGCAAAATTTTGCCAAAATTTCACGAATTTCGGTGGTGGCCACAAAAAAAATCCAAATTTTGTAATACACTAATTCGTGTGTTATATGACTCTAGACTCTTGGAGACGAGGCCGTACATCGCTGTTGCGGTACCTATTCCACCTCGGAGCACGGGACATGACCGAGGTGACGGGGCGCTCAGTCTCTCAGCTAAGTCAAGGTGGTTTTTGCAAAACTGGCGTCGAAGAGACAGGAAGAAGACGGGCGTCGTACGCGCTCTAACGTTTTATTTGTTTTGGCACAAAAATATGTGCAAAACTACAACAGGATTGCAATAAATTGAAAGAACATTTTCTTAGGTTTCCGACCCAATTCGTACTTGTTATTCAAACACTTACAAAAATATACAATACACACGATTTATGATAATGTGTTTACAGTATATGGTCTAAATCACACGATTCATTCGCCTGGCTTTATTTTACACAAGACAAACCCTGCAATCTACTCCACCACACCCACATCTTACATGGCTTGAATTATGATATGACCTTCCAAGCCAGCAGTGCCACGACAAACGAGAAACGACGACAGAATAATCCTTCAAGGTCGCATGTATCATGTATAATGATCAGCCTCTCCATCGTTTGAAACCCTTTGAAGATTTTTTTTTTGTGACCCTGCAGGATTTATGCACTTTAAATTAGTGCGGTTTGTTTGAAAGAACAGGCATGACTTTTGCTGTAAATTCAAAATTATAAGCTCTCTGGCATACCAAAATGGCCCAAGTAATCATATCATCACTTAGCCGTTAACCAGTAAGGAAGTAAACATCGCCACAGCTGCTTATTAATGTATGATGTTAGGGTTTGCTATTTAGCAAAATCTGATCAAAATATAAGCCGACATAAATTAAGACGAGGGGTAAGGTCACTTGATCTCTTACGGTCTTACCACACGGAGTTTCAAGCCTAAATAGCTCACAAAGCAGCTAAACTTACATCATCCATGGCGGTGCACATCGCTTTACGTTCGCCGACGTCACGGATGACGAAACAAGGCCAGAAAACCGCCAACCGCGGTGACCACCGCCATCGCCCACACGGCCGTGGCGACGGGCAAGGAGGGCATCGCCGCGGCCACTTTCCACGCGAACAACACGGTGAGCAGCGTGCAGAGCGCCCAGACCTCGCGTTTTAGTCGACGCCTCCTTCCGCCGAGGTCGGCCGCCCCGGCGGGCGGCGGCAACCGCTCGTAGGCGCGGAGGCTGCGGAAGAGAAGCAGCAGCGTGGTGTAGCTGGCGCCCACGAACACCGCGGAGCCGACGTCCCCTGCAGCTGCGGCTCTGTAAGCGGACACGCCGGACGTCAGGGTTACGAAGGTCAGGCCTGCGAAGGCGAGGACCGCATCGGCGCGGCCGATTCGCTCCATGCGCTGATCGGAAAACTTGCGGCGTCGAGTCGTCCTTATGTCACAAGACAGGATAGGGAGAACAGCTGGTTCAGGCGCGCAGGCAGGGGTTTTGGGTATGTGTGTGCGTGTGCGTGTATATATAGAGTAGCAGGCAGCACATCTTGCTTGAGCAGTAAGGATCAGAGTTTCTTCGGTCAACAACGCAACGTGTGTTGCATGGTCGAAAGTCGAAACGAGTACACAATAAATATCTCCAACCGCCATTGACGACATCATGGCGTTTTCTTATGACATACTTGCAAGGCAATGCATCCCGAAACCGACATATTTGTTTGGTGGGAATGTGGGATAGGTTAGGCACCGTTTGGATTCCGAGATTCAAAAATCTCAACAGTTTTATTGGGTTCCGAGATTCAAAAATCTGCCAGTTAAAATCCTTATAAAATCTAGCCTGTCTGGATGAGAATCTAGAATTGTAGGATTTTTTCTATAGAGGGTTCAAACGGGGCCATAGCCATACCTCAACTCATGGGCTCATTGGAGGTAGAAAGGTAAGTTTTTACTGCTAAATACCAAAGTAGCATCCAAATCTTTTTAATATTCTTCGCCAAAAGCATGCTACGATTGCACACACTTTTAGTACAGTGCCTCTTAATGTTTCGTTTAGAAGGGCATTACTAGGAAATAAGATGCTAGAGTGGAATTGCCTTTGTATCAAAAGTTGCCAACATTAGTTATATGATAAGAGGGATACATTCTTTTGGCTTTCAAACCTAATGGTTCATTCACACTATGTATCGACACCTTGTCAAACACGGGATCAAAGTTATTATGGATTTTTGGCGTGTGAAGCCGCCTCTAAAAATAAAGATTATTTCTATTGTTCCTAAAACCGGGGGTTAATTACTAACCAAAGATAACTTAGCAATTAAAATTTGGCATGGGAATACATCTTATGCCTTACTGTTAGCGTTTTATAAACCGGACTAGTAAATTTATACGATTGCCGCGTTGCTCTAGGAAGACGATGGTAGCATCAAAAGACACGAGGATTTATACTGGTTCAGGCCGGAGCCCTACGTCCAGTCTTAGAGTTGATCGAGTGCGTGTTCCTCGCTTGAATATTCTGAAGTTCTTACAATACAGGGTGCAAAATGGTAGAAGAGGTAGAAGAACCTAAGCTAGGCGGTGGGCTGCCCGAAGGGAAGCTTCAGGAGCCCTACTACTATAGAGAACGAATGAAATGGAAGAGGATTTAGAATCTGTCGAGATGGGTGCCCTGGCTGCCCTTATATAGAGTTTGGGGTCAAGGCCCTCATCGTGGATCTGATCCATAGCGGGCAGGATTGTACTCTCGTCTCGTCGGGCCGTATTTGGCCGGTGGTCATCATACCTGTCATCACCGCTTTGGGCGGTATTGTCTTGTCTGTGCGGCGTGGCACAGGGATGGCGTCTGACCGGACCGAGGTGACTGCTATCCCCTCGGTTCTTGCAGGGTCAGTGCGGCGTGCCTGTTCTTGTTAGAGCAGGCACGCTTGGCAGGGCTCGACCTCTCCCCGTTCCTTCCAGGGGTCGTGACGGGGGGAGGTCGTGCGCCTTTCCAGCGCCGTGTGGCTAAGGCACGAAGGAGGGGTCGTGGCTGACCTCAGCCTTAGCGTCCGGCCTGGTTCGCTTGGCTTAGCTGGGCCTTAATCGTTCGGGCTTTCGCTAGCTGATATGTTGTGGGCCGGTTGGCCTGTTAATTAATCGGTGCCTTGAGACACCCCGGGATTACAACCCCGGCACTTATGTTCCCAGAATGAAACAATTCAACACTTGTTTTTTCATTGCCTTTATCTAAAGTTTCTTTGGCATGGGAATATATCGTTGTTTTTGGCATAAGACCACCTTTGGATGTTATTGACATTTTTCATAGATGGTACAAACAAGGACATGGGACAAACAATTCTTTGTTGTTAATAGGAGGTGCAACCATTTGTTGGTCAATATGGCTTACACGAAAGGAAGTTGTTTTTGACAGATGTCTAACCTAAAATTTTTTTACAGGTCTTGTTCATAGGAACGCACTGGTCATGGCATTGGGCGCAGCTACAACTATGTGATGACAACAAAGAACATATTCACCAAGTGTGTTAAGAGCTAGAAGAGCGGCGACTGTGCTTTTCTTTGCTTCCTTTGATTGCCAAATAATGTTATAATTGAGTTTTAAGTTAAACATGTTTTTCATTAGTTTAAGCTTCTGTAATAAATGGTCTGATTCCCTTAGATCTAAGGGATGAAGACGGGTTCAACTCCTTTATCTGAGATACCCAAGTAGCATCAACTTTAAACTTGTAGTAGGTGACTAACCTTCTCACGTATAATCAGGTGCTAACCGATATTGCTAGTGCTAGCTCTGGCTCAGTGCTTCACAATCCAGGCCATCTTTCATAGGTGATGTGGTCAATACCTATATCTAGGGTTTGTGAAGATCTAAATCCAACTGTCTGGAAAGGATACAAGATATCCAACGGTTGATAATGATCGGATCGGCACTGCAGGCTGAAGAGACATGGCCCAGACACCGCATTATGGCTGGGCCGTGCCAGGCACGAGCACTATGGGCTTAGTGCCATGCCGAACCCGTGGCGTGCTTTTTTCCGCGAGAAGGCCTCATCGGCCGGTTTTTCATTAAAAGGATATTGGAGTTTGTTAAACAATGCATACCGTTTGAACTTCCGTGAGGACAACGATTGTTGCCCCACAATGAAGCCAAAGGTTTGCACTAGCACGTTTTACTTATACAATTATACATATAAATAAACTTTTGTGAAAAGACATAATTCAAACCAGCAGCGAACGCGCCTCCTCCTGGCACCGTCACGCCCTGAGAACAGCACCTACAAAGCCTCCCACTTGGCTGGCGAAAGTGGCAATGCGAAGGCTTGCTCGTATTCATTGAATGCGGAGGTGTCAAGCTTGTGCATATCTGGGACGGGCCCGTGCTGGCCCATTGGGCCAGGCCCGTTTACCTAACTGCTACATATGCGCATTATTGCTAACTGTTGCATATGCATGATATGAGTGACGTCCTTGGACGCTCGAAGATCCAAGTGGGACGATGGTGCCTTGCTTGATGACTGATACAATGTTACACCTGATTGGCCGCAGAGCGTGCAGCGTGGGTGGCCGACGACGAAGTTAGTAGTCGTTGACTAGATATTCAATACGTTACTGTCCTGTTCGTTTGTTTTATGAGTCAAATTTTTTCAGCGAACGAACAGTGTTTTATCTCAAAAAAATCAGCCAACAGTACTTTTCAGCCTGACTTATCAACCAAGTGAACAGAGCCTACATCTGCATATTCCAATATCATTGCCATTATTAGTGTTAGGAAGCACACATCCATTTCAGAGACCAGAGAGCAATAACAAGTTTTGCATTAGTTAGTGCAGGTCCTACTTTGCGTGGGTTAACAGAAAATTCAGATCCAAGCTGCTATCACTCTCCTCAAGATGACCGTGTGCGTGTTGCCCCTCCTCACGCGGTGGAGTCGGCTTTCGCATCAGCGGTCGCCAGCAGCCACGGAGCCGCACGAAGCCGATGCCGGTGACCACGAACCAAGAGTCGCAGAAGCCCTCAACGTCGTCGTCAACCTACGAGACAGGGGGAGTGGATCTCCTCCGAGGTGGAGGACGCAGGGGCGAGGCCGCGAGGGAGGACAAGGCCGGACTGCAGTGACACTGGAGGCTTCCTCAGGTAGTCGATCAAGTTCCCACTTCTCACGCTTGGCGAAGAGAGACGAGGTACGTGTACGGAGCGACCGATGGACGAGGAGGTGTACGGAGCGGCCGGCGGCGGCAATGGAGATGGAGGTGCGGAGGGAGATAGATGCGACGAGCGAGCAAGAAACAGCGATGCAGACCCAGCAAGCGGGGAGGCAACATGCCGAGATTGCCCGTTTATGGACCCAGCTCATAGGCACAACAAACGGCCTCTTGGAGCGTGCCGTCCGCTCAGCGATGTACGAACCGATCGTTGCTAAGTCCCATATATATTGGTCATGCATTTAAGATATCTCTGTTTGCAAATTGCAACCGAAGGATCAAACGACATAGCAGGATGAGGGCTGACATAAAGTTTTTTCTTGTTAAAAAATAGTACAACAGACATGACCGGCCGATACATGGCACCTGACTGGAGGAAAGATAAGTCTGTTTGCTTAGTTTATTCCGGACAGCATACCACAACACATGAGGCTTCACAGCGTACGCAGCTTCTTCCACTACGGCCAATACTCAAACTTCAACAAAGAGCAAAGAGTGCCCCCAGCTGGCCAGCTGCTCGCCTGCAGCATATGCAACTCCGAGGTCGAGCTGCTAGTTCCACAGAGTGAACAAGTACTTGAGGATGGCGACGGCGGGCAGTGCGGCGTGCGGGAAACGTCCTGCCGCCGGCACCACCACCAGGGCCAGCAGGCACACGCCGAGCAGCCAAAGGAGAAGGCCGAGGAACGCCTGCATGGGGTCGGCGGAGGGGGTTCCGATCCCGACGGTGGCCACCGCGCCGAACAGCATCAGCACGCGTGCGGCGTCGAGGAAGAGGTTCTGGAGACCCTCCCGGTCTGCTGCGGCGACGACGGCGGCCTCTGCTCGGTTGGCCATGCTAAATTTAGTCCAGGACTCCTCTTTCTTCGGTCAACAACGCAACGTGTGTTGCATATATAACAACGCAACGCAACGTGTGTTGCATATATAACAACGCAACGCAACGCAACGTGTGTTGAATATATATATATGGTCGAAAGTCGAAACGAGTACACGATAAATATCTCCAACCGCTAATGACGACATCTTGGCCTTTTCTTATGACAATGACAAAGTTTGACCGAAGAACAATCCGTTATATTGCACCGTCATTTTACGCTACCAAAATTCGCACCGCTTACGTAGCAAAAGAATGCTGGAGGACACTGCTACACTGGACAGTGCTCTCAAAACATTTCAATCCCTACTACCGTAGTACGAGGAGCAAATTAGTACTTGTCGGATATCTAGACCCGGGTATCCGAGCCAAAGGATTAATGAGCGTTACGTCGGCTCATCCGATGGTTAAGGACGTAACTGCGGCCTCGTCTGACCCTCAGGGGCCGGGCCACGCCCCGTCTGACTCCGAGGACGAGGTTTCCGTCTCGTCCGACCCCAAGGCGTGGGCTCCGACTCCGAGGACGAGGTTTCTGCCTTGTCCGACCCCAAGGCGTGGGCTGCGACTCCTCCGACCCCAGGGCGCGAGCTCCGACTCATCCGATACCACGGGGAGGGCTCCGCCTCGTCCAACCCCCGAGCGCCAGTAGGCACACGCCGAGCAGCCAAAGGAGAAGGCCGAGGAACGCCTGCATGGGGTCGGCGGAGGGGGTTCCGATCCCGACGGTGGCCACCGCGCCGAACAGCATCAGCACGCGTGCGGCGTCGAGGAAGAGGTTCTGGAGACCCTCCCGGTCTGCTGCGGCGACGACGGCGGCCTCTGCTCAGTTGGCCATTAGTGGGCGCTGTCCTACTATGCGGATCGCGTGGTTGGTTGGCACGCCGCGTGAGAAATTGGTCACCTTCCAGCTGGGTGCGTTTGAAGGAGTCCCTCCTGTTTCCTATTTATACTTCCCTGTGTGCCATTAAAAAAGATCGCAATGCCCTGTGTATCTCTGGAAAAGTTCAGCGGTCTTCAGCGCCACTACTCCAACTTTTTCGTGTCCTCCATGCCACTTCCGTCAGTTTGGGCTCTAACGCCGTCAAACTGCAGGTGTGAAAAGACGAAAATACCCTTAAGTCTAAATATGTTATTAAATTTTTTTAGCATCTTAACGACTTCAAATGAAAAAACTCAAAACTAGAAAGTTGTAGATCTCGTCGAGATCTATAATTTTCATATAAAAATTATTTTCATTTAATTCCGCAAAAAATGATTTGATATAATTAATATATCTTAGAAAAATCAAATTATTTTTTTTGCGGAATTAAATGAAAATAATTTTTATATGAAAATTATAGATCTCGACGAGATCTACAACTTTCTAGTTTTGAGTTTTTTCATTTGAAGTCGTTAAGATGCTCAAAAAAAATTAATAACATATTTAGACTTAAGGGTATTTTCGTTTTTCACACCGCAGCTTTGATTTGCAAGAAATTTCAAACCGACGAAAAGTGGTATTGATATGACAACAAAAAAGTTAGAAGAATGACGTCAAGACATTGAACTTTTTTAAAGGAACATAGGACATTACGATCTTTTTTAATGACACATAGAGAATTCCCCTTTATAATACTCGATACATGACTTGTCGTCGAATGTCGATTTGCAAAGATTCTCCATCCAAAAAAACGGTTGCCGTCTTCCAGTGTCTGCGACGCTGTCGAATGTCGATTTGCAAAGATTCCATCCAAAAACACGCTACCTGCGAGAAATAAAATTTCTGCGACGCTGTCGCACAGCACCCTGTGTGCGACACCAGCTCATCACCTTACACGTGTCCTGCTTCATTTTTTGGTTGCGTGTCCTGCTTCCTCTATCTGATGGTTGGAGTCCACATCCGGAAAAAAATGTATCCGGAAAAAAATGCGGGCTCGGCCTCGCCTGCCTTCCACTGTGGGCCGGAGACACATGTCAAGCATTCATTGGATGTCGCACACAAGGAGCCGTGCGACGGTGTCGCCTACTGTACAATTTATGCGACTGCACCTATGCCTTTACGCCACGTGGGCATTGGTGACTGCTCAGTGGTCAGTGCCGGTTAAGGCTCCGGTTCGCGGTTGCTGTAGGCTGTTGCGTGGCCGTGTCTGCGCGGCACGTGGGGCGAGTGGTGACTGCTCGGCGCCGGTTAAGGCTCTAGCTATCGACGGGTTTAGCGGTTTAGCTGGTTTGGCATTGGCGTGGTGTGGCATACGGAGTACGGAGTAGCCGCATAGGGCAGTAGGGCACACCTAGAGTCACTTGCTAGCTATTTTACGTTCATTCACGTCAGCTTAGCCTTGTTTGGATTGCAAGTTTTTTCACTCTCTTTTCATCACATTAAATTTTTAGACACATGTATGGAGTATTAAATATAGATAAAAAAATAGTTTGATTGTAAATTACGAGACGAATCTTTTGAGCCTAGTTAAGTCATGATTGGACAATAATTATCAAATACAAACGATAGTGCTACCGTGCCAAATACTGATTCCTAACCCCAATCTAAACAAGGCCTTACAGCAAGTATAATAACATGACGTAAGCTGACTAAATGCTAAGGTGAAAAAGAGAGAGGAGAAGCAGGTTGTAAGCTTACAGCCGACTTGGACACAAGAACTAAGAAACTCTATGTGAAAGATAAGTGGATCATGTATTAACAGTGAAGAGCTAACTACTATATGGGTGAATTGAGAGAAGACCGCACGCACGCGAGGGAACAGATTGACCAGAGAGTGAAAAACATATTGGACAGTCTAATCTTTTCATCTATTTTTAATTTTTCTTTATTTGAGATACTATTTATATATTTATTAGATCTGTTTGGATCCCCTCCTCTAAATTTTAGAGCTCTAAAAACTTTTGAAGCCATTTAACTCAGCTTTGAGGTTTAAAGCTCTAATATGCCAAAGGATGGCTAGTCCAGTTGGTTAACTGAGATATGCTAGTCACTCCGGCGACACCCTCCAGGTCCTGAGTTCAACTCGTAGTGGGAGCGAATTTCAGGCTGTGAGTTAAAAAAATCCCTTCACCGGTCCCGGGTGCCAAAGCACTGGTTTAAAGGAGACAGTCCATCTCACGGGTTACGTCTCCCAGTGTCGGGCCGGGGCCGGGGTTCGGAGGTTTTCTCGGCCTATGTGAGAAGGTCTTCTTCTTACATATAATGCCCGGGGGGCGGCTTGCCCCTCGCAGGTCGATTTTTTTAAAGCTCTAATATAAGATGTACTAAATTTAGAGCTAACTTTATACCACTAGATTGGCGACTTTAACTTTAAAGTTTAGAAGTCTAAAGTTTTAAGCGTTGATCAAACAGGCCCTTAGTAATACTTGAAGTAAGTAGAGGCCTTGCAAAATTTTACCAATCTTTATTTTCCAATTTGAATTATATATCCATAAGTTGATCATATGTTATGTCTAGTCACATGGTTAATTAGATTTTGTGTGTAGAATGAATTGATCAGTGTAATAGATCTCTTCTGTTAAACCAATATTACAACCGATTTTTCTTTTTTGTGAACGCAAGCATGATAGCGCTATGGGTAATATCTTGCAGATAGAATATATTTGGATTAGGTGGCCTTTATGAAGACAAAATTATTTCTTCTAACTGAGAAACATAAGTTATTTACATTGAAGCAATAATATGAGGTGGGAAAGGATGTCGAGTACTGGAGAACACATTTGTTGTGATGTAATTCCATTCTTATATTGTTTGCCTTCCATGGTTATGGATATATGCAAGGAGATGTTATTAACATACGTTGGAACACCAATACACGAATAACGGAGGCCAAAGTAAACATAAGCTAATACCGTTGGGGCATTTGTGGATGTTTTGCATGAATGCTAGACAAAAGCCTTCGCGTGGGGCCTGTGATGGAGCGAAGACCCCAACGATTCAAGTGGAGGCCACGTATGCTTCGGGGAGAAACCTAGAAAGCCTCCGCCGACAGCAAGAAGGCCTCCGCCACTGGCCGACAGTAGGGCGGAGGCCCGAGCGCAATCCTAAAAGAGGTCCGAAGGAGTCCACGGGTGGAGACTAAAAAGCGAGAGTGGAGGCTCCGATGGCTCGGGCGGAGGCCTTGCTGTCTTCACCAGAGAAAAGGGCCCTCACAGCACCACGGCCCAAGATTGGAGGTGGGCTTCTAGCGGGCCTGAGGCTAAGGCCCAAGAAGCAAAGGTGGTGCAGGGGACAAGACCCAGGATGCCCCTAGAGATTTGAACTAGTGTTAGGATATTCTAGGAATGTACCTTAGCTGTCAAAGGGCAAACTTATACCATGAAGAAGTAGCCAACAGTGCCCTATAAAAGGGGAAGCCAGATGCTACGTAAAGGAAGTTGGTGAGTTCATTATTGGAACCTTGATTGAGCCTAGGCCCACCCTCCATTTCACACACCTTCGCCCCGAGCACTCATTTGGGCGAAGGCCTTCCGTTCCCCGTCTGCTGAAAACCCCCAGTTTTCCAACATGGGCGCCCACCGCGTGTTGGCCAAGCAAAACCCACAATGGTAAGAAAAAGAATAGCCTCCGCAAGGGCACCTACGGACCCCACACCAAGGGGAAGACCCAGACGCAATGCCCGAAGCACCTATGCCACCGCCCCAGAAGACCAGGCTACAGAAGAATCGGCCTGTCGAAGACCAGCCTCCAGCTTCTGAGGAGCAGCAAGCCCCAAACCCCACCCTGGAGCAAGAGCTTCAACAATTACAGGCTCAGTTGCATAACATGTAGCAAGAAAGAGATAGGGTCGCAGCAGCCTTCGCCACAAATCAATGAGCAACCCAAACATCAGCTCAGGCAGCGGAGATCAGGCAGCAGCTAGCCGTCCTACAATCTGAAATACAAAGTATGCAGCCCTCGCAATCTAGCTTCAACACATCCAACCAGTTCCACTCAATAAATCAAAGCCAACCCAACCCCCCACCATGCACAACAGCTCAA